GTGCATAACTAGGAGGTGTTGTAGTTCTACCAGTTCGGATTGGAGGTAGTCTCTGCATGTGTAACTCTTCTAGTTGTCTGGTTTTCTCTTTCTCAGCTTCCAGTTGTTGCCTCAATTGTTCAGTTCTGCTAGGTGGTCTTTCCTGCTGATGCTGTAGCAGTGTAGGTGATCTCACAACAGTTTCCACTTCAGGTTGTTTCTCAGTCGCTGTTCCTGAACCAGATGGAGCCAAATAGTTTTTGTAAGACCGAACTCATAGTGGATAACTGCTTTCCCAGATCTAACATAGCCTTTTCAGTCCCTCGAACTTGCAGAGCAATCTCTCCTTGCTTGGAACTGATAGACTGGACATCTTCCTGTAACTTGGACACTTCATTCCGCATGGATGCACTGTGTTGTTGCAAAGCGCCAAAATCATCCCGCAAAGATAACACCTCCTGCAAATCGGCCTCATCGATTGCCTTAGCACGTCCCATCTCCTTGATCCAGAGAAGAGAGGGGGGATTTTACTACCACAGATGCGGCAACCAACCTCTTAAATCCAGATCCTGCCGCCGCCAAAGCTACACGCCATCAAGGTACACGGATCAGCGAAGGACGTGGGATTTTATCTTGCTGGAGGGGATCCAGCACAACCACTCCGCGCTACTGATATGTACCCAAACGATCACTGCCTCTAGCACCGCCCTGGATCCGCCGCCGCCTGACGCGTCAGTGAAGGTACGCCCTCACCGTGCGCCTCAATCGCCGCCAAACACCATCATCACGACATCAGGGTGGGAATTGGGTGGGTGTTCTAACCTCTCGTGGAAAATTTTGATCCAATCGGAAGCTACGGAGGAACCACTGCTCTGATTACCAATTTGTCAGATCCTAGATAGTCTACGAGTACAGAGGAAGAGATTATATGGACGAATTTTGGGAATTATCAAGGAAAGAGACCCCGATCTGGGATATGTATTGCTATCGGTGGAGCCATATGAGTTTAGGGTTCGTCCCTTAGGAGCTGTTAAGTAGGTGAACGCCTCGCGGTAACAACAGGAACATGAACAGTGATTCTAACGGAAAGATAGGTCTAACGGTGGGCGACGAAAGTAACTTGAGGAGTCCCGTGGACCGTTGGATCAGCTGAACCGGCAAGTGTTTGAAATGACATAGTTAACTGAAGAATCGTCTTCAGATATGCTTCTAGCTGACACCACAGCCTATCAAATTATCTGGACACATGCATATATGATTGGTGGAGATGGAAAAGAAAAAGGAATTGGCAAGGATAGATCAGGTATAATATCTGCGGACACGTTCGTCGGACCTGTCCATGAACAGGGCGAAGTCCAGCTGGATTCACCAAATGTATGGCTGAATTGTTGTTGATCTAGATACATTTGTTAAAGAGATCGCACTTTGTCGGATGTATTTATCAATAGCAGTACATTTAAATCCGAAAACACTCCTCAAAAAGAGATCGCACTTTGTCGGATGTATTTATCAATAGCAGTACATTTAAATCCGAAAACACTCCTCAAAAGACGTTCAACAACCAAAAGAGTCTTTCGTCTCAATCTTTCCATCCTCGAGGATAAACTTCTTCATATGTAATGTATCTACTCTAGTTGTCATGGTCATTGAGCTTCATCAATGCATCATTGCGAAGGGCTTGTAACTTGGACTTGCTACGATAGAACGGCGCGTAGCAATGAAGTTTCCAACAAGTTGCCAATTGAGCTAATTAATGAAATGATCAATATGTAGTAACAACAGACAAAACTTCCGAGCAATTTCAAGCAATATACTTGTTGACGGCATTTTGAATGAGACCTCCGTTTGCGATTATGGATCACTTTCATGTCATTGGGCGACTAGTGCTTGTGCTCGAATGAACCAAAAATGCACACTCGGCCAAAATGATGCATTATGCCTCGTGCCTTGGAACTCCACATTTGAGGCCACATCACACGACAATTCATCATGTTTCTTTCAAAGTCAACAACAACACATCAAAGCATTCTGCTATGGCATTCAGTTGAAACACTTGTGAGCCACAACATTCAAGGCCTGAGCAACAACCGGGGCGGTACAACAGCAACTAGGGTGCAAACCAGTGAGACCGAGTGAAACTCAAGGACAACTCAACTTGTGACGATCTCAAGTCAAATCTCAAGCTAAATGAGACGGTAAAAAATATATAATCTATGGACATTCAGAATAGGAACAAGACAACAATGCTCCGGTAAAGATCATATCGCATCTGGGCAAAACAAATTCAGCACCAAAGAAAAAACTGACCGTACAATTTTAAGCAAAACTATTAATGATAGATAGATTCCACAAGACATGTTCAGATCACGACATTCTTCGGTTTGACAGAAAACACAGGAATCAAATCGCAAAACAGCAGCAGCCTGGTAGGTTTAAGTGCTTAAAACGTCTGACTATGAACTACTCATGAATCAGAGCCTGGGCTTAAGCAGCGATGAAAGCCTTCTTCCCGCCTCCGGTGGTTCCAGCTGGAACAACCTTCAGGACATTGAATCTCACGGTTTTCGACAGGGGCCTGTTTCAGACACAAGCAATATACTTCAGCACAAAAGAAAATAGCTTTCTGCAGTAATCAATACATCAACTATATAATGATGATGAAGTGGAATATCAAAGCATGTATAATAACAGTAACATAACTGCACAAGGGTCAACATACTAGAAAACCCAGGCTAACATTCTCAAGTTGATAGTCATGCAAGAGTAACGAGTTTTACCTGCACTGGCCAATGATGACATGGTCGCCTTCCTTGACTCGGAAGCAGGGGGAGATGTGAGCTGGGATGTTGGAGTGCCTCTTCTCATACCTGCAAGGTGCACAATTGAATTTTGAGTTAGAAATGCCACAGGGAAGAACAATGTTCACAGAATCATCAATGGGTATACTTGCCTCTGATACTTCTTCACAAAATGAAGGTAGTTCCTGCGAACAATGATGGTCCTGTTCATCTTGGCACTGTGGCAGGTTCCAGCTATGATTCTGCCCCTGATGGCAACAGTTCCAGTGAATGGGCACTTCTTGTCAATGTAGGTACCTGGAAATGAATAGGAATTAATACACTGTTGCAACCTTAACAGTAAATAAGGCTCAATTAACTATTCACGGTTTATGTCAACCACAGTACTAGCCAGACATTAGAAACAAAACATCAAGAAACAGTACATGGTACAATTCATGGCTCAACTGTTTCCACATGACCAAAAGAAAATCGGCTGTGGATCTACCAATGACAATCACTACACCAACTGAGAATTTACTAGGTTCAATTCTTTGTGTAGACTAGGCTAGCAAAGCCAGGAGAAATGTACTGAAGTATGATCTTAGGCACGCATACTTGCATTCATCAAGACTAGCATCACCTACTCAAGTATCGAACAGTGCTAAAATAGAAGGATTGGCCTAGTATAGTTTACCATCGATCGCTTCCCTTGGGGTCTTGAAACCAAGGCCAACACTCTTCCAGAAGCGGTTGCCAGCCTTGCCTGGCCTCTTGGCCTTGTCGGCCTTTTTCGTGCTAAATTAAACAGAAAACGGTGTTAGGGCATGTGCATCACACTGAATCAACAAAAGATATGCACATTGCTAAAAACAACAACAGCACACAAGAAGGGTAATCGATCTCCTCACCTGAGGAAAACCTTTGGCTGCTTGAGGAAAGACTTCTCGGTCTGCACAACATATCAAGTTTAAACTACCATTAGAAAATAACAGCAACAAATTATGATCTATTGTACACAGGAATAGGACAAACTAGGAAAACAATCTATACTTCACTCGGTACTTGGCAAACTCAAAATGAACAATACAACAAAGGCTACTGCAATAACTTTTCTGAATAGACACTATCACTCAACAGACACCAAGATCCTATTGGTGTCCAAATGGTCAGAGAAGAGCCCATGCTAACAGTGAAACACCAAGCTTCAGCCACAGCATAAGATGTTAATGGCATGCTGCTAACGACTACGCGGAAACAGCTGAAATCAACTAATGAACAAGTAGATAAAATTACCACGGTAGTAACCTATCGCACCACGAACACACCAAAACGGCAGCAGGTTCTTCTGACCGCAAAGATACCGCATGCTACTCGATTTGCAAGGAATACACAGGCTTCTCCACGGACAGATCTAAGCATACATGGCAGAAAAGCACAAAGGCGCCGCATCACATATCGCGAGCACCCGGCGCCTGCAAGCGAACGGGAGAGAGCAGAGGAAGAGCGCTACACGGGGAGGAGAGGAGAGCCTTTACCTGCTCCGCCATGGCAGCGAGGTGGGCGTCGAGGGGCTCGGAGGCGGCGGCGGCGGCGCGTCGAGGGGAAGCGGGAGCAAGGCTCTGAGAGGAGTTGGCGGCGGGGCGCAAACCCTAAGGGTGAGTGCATTCTTATAGCACTGGGCGCCGCTGCGGGAATGTGCAGCCCTTCCGTTCCGGGCCTCTCTCCACCCGTCTCCTCGGGCCGGCCCGTCGCCGATGCCCATGGGAGGCCCATCTGTCGCGGGCGGGCCCGCCTCGGGGTTCTGGGTAGATCAGGCCGTTGATGGTGTGTTAGCCGTGGGGTTACGCCTGGGCCGTCCGATC